ATTGGAAATTAACCTGAAATCGACCTCTTAAAGAAAGCATAGTCTCATTAATTGGTGTGTATTATGAATGTGTATTGTATTAACGTTTGTATCATTTCTATTTCTATCTAATTTTGGTCAGGTTTAGTTAGTTATGTTGTTTCCATGTGTTGTTACAGTACCTGTCAGTTTACAGTATATTTAGAATACAACAACAACAACAACAACAAGTACTACTACTACTACTAATACTAATACTAATACTAATACTACTACTAATACTAATACTAATACTACTCCAAATACAAATATATCATTAATCGGGATGGTAGATTTGTTGAGATTGTAGTAATTTTAATAGTTAACTTGATGAGTCAATTAAAGCTAGATCACCATAGGAAAACTGGAAGCACTGGATGGCTGATTCGTCCTAGTACAGAACTCCTCAGAAGTGCACATCCATGATACTGCTCGCGGGATTCGAACCAAGGACCATAACCAGTGGAGTTCAACTGTGTCTGTTGTAGATGCAATAGCTCACTGAAGATAACGGTGGACGGTGATTTAATTTCGTGGATTGGCTGAAGTTATACGTTAACATCATTAGATGCCGGCTATGTATTCTAGAGACCAAGCGTTCGTGTGGGAGACCGGAGGTTCTGGGTTCGTGAATGGGCATTATTGAGGAGTCCCACACCAGGACGAAACGGCTGTCTAGTGAGTCCAGGTTTTTCATGCTAATGTAGCTTTTATTGACTCATCAACTCAAATATCATTCATCTCAGTGGGTGATTAGCCCGATCTCTCCCACCCGGATTATCGCTCACGTTAGTTCATAAGTCATTCGTCCCACTATCCAGGAGGCATGACGCGGATGTGTGAGTCGGATTTGTTGTATACAGCTTAAATTCTGTCTTTAAAACATTCACATTAGTTAGTTGTTAGTTAAAAGTAGATTAATAAGAACAGAATTGTTAGTAAAACCATATCATTCATGTGTACAAATGTTTTATCTTTAAACTTGTGTGTTAGATAAGGTCTTGCCCATTTGATGATAGACAGTAATTTGAAGACCGAATATATACTAACGGAAACCTATACGATAATAACTACAACACTCTTTTGATTACAAAATAACAAAGGTACCATCAAGCTCCTTAAATTAAAATCAATGGAACAGAGTTTGTTGGTTCATTTGTTTAAAACACACTTCATGTACCTTGATTTGAGAAACTAGGTAATACCTTCAGAAAATGACATTAGTTTACTGTAACGTGTGACTGCAGGTTTTGATACGCAGTGTTTATATCGATCAATCACAGTAACAGGGAAAACACGTAAGGACGACCTAGTGCCCTGATTGGCCCTGGTTCGCTGTCTGTCCTAGCCAGTTGAGTCCAGAACACAAGTCACAGCCTCGAAGATATGAATCATTATATTTCAAACATACTTTGTTTATATACCAATCAAGCATACCACATCGTACCATAAAAATAGAAAACAACATTTTGTACAATATTCAACAAGTGAACAGATATCGACCAATAGGAAATGTCCATTTAAAGTGTAAGGACACCATTGGACTTAACATGATAATTATTGGTCTATTCTTCCGCATCCACAACATAGTTACTATCCAATGATCAAACATTGTAAATGTCTTCATTTTATAGGAAATCACTCAGTGCACGAAACTCCGCCTAGAGTCCCTCTGGGGGCTTCTGCCGGTCCCAAGCCCGGATAAAGAAGGAGGGTTGGGCATGGGGTTAGCGACTCCATCCCGTAGAAAACTAACTCGCTAAAAACAACTCGGTGCTTAAATAATTCAGTGGTGAAATTTCTAACTTCGAAACTGGATGATGTAAGTTTGAATTTCATAATGAAGAAGTGGTTCCTTCAAAATTACTTACTAATAAGTACTAACTAAAGTGAAAACCAATTACTCAATTCACTTGGTATTGTTGTTTACTTGAATCTTCCGATTGATGTTTAGGACTGTAATTGATCAGTCTCTTATTGACATATGTGCATACTGTTCGTATTGCCTCGATGTTGCCTTAATTCAGTGGGGGGGGGACAAAATTACAGCGTTTTGATAAAATATGAAAACCATACATTCAATACTTTATTTGCACAACTTCCTTCAGTTGTGCTTTACATGCTTCATGATTCTTTCAATTCTGTTGTTAACACAATTACTCTCTGTTTCTCATCCTGTTCTCTTTAATTTAATCTTCTTCTGGCAGGTATTCCATATATTACTTATATATGTCAAAATAAGTAGTATCCATCACAAGTATAATCTCTCTTATTAGTGAGATCAATCCTGTTTGATGAAAGAGATATCATTTAGTACTGAGGACAATTTATTTGGATTTGCATGGATACTATTAAAGTGGACGTTAAACTTGACGTTTCCACAACTATTATTAAGGAATAAAGATGATAGATTGAAGACAGAAGCAAGGGAAGAAACATTCAGTTGTGAAGCAAATAAATAAGTGTACATTTCTACTAAGTCATTATTGGAAAAGATTTTCTATACTTTAATGATTCAATTTAATACATCAAATACACTCTCGAGTACGGCAAGAATGACTGGCAATTCCCGGTTGTTTATATCATGAAAGGACTTTCTTCCCAAAGGATCAGAAAGGGAAATTTGGTTAATATTGTTGAATCAAGACATAATTGTTTAAAGTCAGTCACACACAGCCTGTTTGCGAGTAGTTCTGAATGTACCAGCTGTGATGTTTGTATGAACTGATGATTTATTCTGTACATGATGGCTACCTGGTTTCGAATTCCAAATACAATACGTTCATTCGTGCTCATCTAATACTTCTTGGTTAAATTGGATTATTTCTGAGTTTCCTAGTTTGTACTATTATTCAAATCCTCTTAATTATCACAGTTAGCTCCATACATTTACTACCGGTTACAGAAATGTGATGTATCATGGTTAGGTTTAATCTTTTCTAGTTTCCCATTTCGTTGTGGAAAGGCAGCATTTCTGAAAATCTTAACAGTTTGAAGGAAATAACTTACTTGAGTCACACACCTATTGAGTCAGTAGTACCACTTCATCTGTTAAACTCTAGTTTGCTGCACTTTATCTTATCGCTCTTCATTCAGCTTGTTTAGAATGATAGGGCCTAATGGAAAGAGTGTTCTAGCCAGTGTAGCTTGATTGGTTCATTACGGTATGAATGATGAGCCATCACGTCGAGGTAATAGCTACAGTTAGGAAGTATATTCTGTGAGTGACATGTAAATTACATCCACCGTACTAGAACATTAAACTATGAAGGTTTCATCGTATTCTTAAATAATAACCCCAATCGTAAAAGAAGAGTGACTAAACTATCAACTTACAACATCACTTAAATTACCCTGCTTAATGTTGGAGTGATCAAGAAAATTTCTTGCAAAAGACTAACAAGCATCAGGAAACACTAAAGAAGCGTTTCATCCAATCGGCGTTCACTTGAAGTTTTAGCCAGAAACATCAAAGAAGTGAAACGTCACATGTAAACGTTCTGATTGGCTGATTGCCATACTGCTACTATGTTTAGTAGCATTCCAGAATCTCCGAGCAACCCAAAGACATTTAAAACTATTATAAAAACCCTATATTTTCTGTATTAAAATGAACCTTGGAGTAAAGTACTTCTCGCATACTTTGCGCCTTCTCTCTTGTTGTTCAGGTCTCTCTGTATAGTTCTAGCTTAGGGGTTACAAGAATAGCTTAGGAACTGAATATAACGTTCAGTCCGGCAAGACTTATCACTTAGTTACAAATCTTTTCCATCATTTCATAATTCAGTGAGTTTGTAATGACTAAATATAGTTTAATTGTCAAGCAACTTATTATTTACTATTAATATTAGGAAAAACTGTTGGTAGTAGAGAGGACATAGATTGAGGAAATCATCAAAACTACATCATAAAGCAAGCCCTAACTAGAAATCCTAAAGGAAAACGGAAAAGTGGAAAGCCGAAGCATACACTCAGTCAAGAATTGGAAGCAAACATCAAAACAATAATTAGCAATTGGAAAGGATTGCCCTGAACAGGATTGCATGGATAGTGCTGGTCGTTGGCCTATGCTCCTTCACGAAGGGTATCAGGCGTAGTTAATGTCATGAACGATAATAAAATAAACATAACATACTTATATTGTAATGAACAGGAACATAAATAGGAATAATCGGATATATTGGAATACACTAATTACTAAACATCTAAGTATAATCTAAGAATCATACAGTCAATACTCCATTAGCAAAATGTTATTCAATCGTCTCAGATTTCATTAGTCTTGCATTTTTATACTACTTATTTTCTATTCCCATTCTTTTCTTTTAGACCTTCTACTGTTAGACATTGTTATCTTAACTATCACTATATACTACTCATATCGATATAAGTATATAGTGTCGGTTATTATGTTAAGCCCATATGCCTTATTCTAGCATTCGGACAGCTTATTCTATTCATTCTACTTGAGTCACAATTCTGACCTTGTTAATTATTCGCTTATCAATCTTGAATGTTTTTATATGAGCGCGTAGGTATGTGTACCCTTCTTATCCCATTACTCATTACATGTCTGTAACTTATTTTTGTGTAACTGTAACTATTAATTAACACTTGGTTAAAGGGGAGTTGGCTTACACGCCATCTCCACTGCGCGTCGTATTTCTTCTCTCTATTCCATTCGCTCTATATACAAAGTATATGTATTCAAAGGTTCATTCTCATTATTTGACTTATTCCGTTATTCACTGAACGCGGATTAAGTCTATAAAGACATACGAGGATAGGCGGCATATACAATTCAATAACAATCATTCTTACGATCACCTTGGAATCAGATCCCGGGCCACTAAAGTCGATAGCCCTTTCAGTAACATCGTTCGATCTAAATGATGACAAAATTAACGGCATCACAAGTAGCACACACACACACACTCTCTCTCTCACACACACACACACCACAATAGAATTAAGTCGCTATATATATGTATGTATATATAATATTGATTTGATTCTTATAGAAAACTTGTCAAAAAATTGGATTTAATGTTAGAATCATTAGAAAACAACAACAACAATAACAACATTGTAACACTTGAAAGTTCATTTTAAAAAATTTCACTGCACATTACAATAGAACATACTTCCAACAACAACAACAAAAAAAACAACCAAAAAAAACTATTCTAAAGTACTATTTTTATGTTTGTTACTATGATGGATACATCATTGTCACGTGTTATTGATTTTATAAAGTATTCATGGTATATAATAGTAGCTATAGTAATATTAATCAATAATCAATAATCAATAATAATAAAGTACTTTATCACTATGACTAAATGAAGATTCATAAACTATAAAATTACTAATGAATTAAAATTCTTGTTGTTCATCATCATCATTATCATTATCATCTAATAGAATAGTATCACAACCAACTTCAGCATAATCTTTTTCTAATGCATCAGTATCTTCACGTGCTTCAGTGAATTCACCTTCTTCCATACCTTCACCAACATACCAATGTACAAATGCACGTTTAGCATACATTAAATCAAATTTTCTATCTAAACGTGCCCATGCATCAGCTATAGCAGTTGTATTACTTAACATACATACAGCACGTTGAACTTTAGCTAAATCACCATTAGGTACAATTGTTGGTGGTTGATAATTAATACCAACTTTAAAACCAGTTGGACACCAATCAACAAATTGTATAGATTTTTTTGTTTTAATATTTGCTATAGCAGCATTCACATCTTTAGGTACAACATCACCACGATATAATAAACAACATGCCATATATTTCCCAGTTCTAGGATCACATTTAACCATTTGATTACCAGGTTCAAAACATGAATTAGTTATTTCTGATACACTTAATTGTTCATGATATGCTTTCTCTGCTGAAATAATTGGAGCATAAGTAGCTAATGGAAAATGTATACGTGGATATGGTACTAAATTTGTTTGAAATTCTGTTAAATCAACATTTAATGCACCATCAAAACGTAATGAAGCAGTAATTGAACTAACTATTTGAGCAATTAATCTATTCAAATTAGTATAGGTAGGATGTCCAATACCTAAGTTCTTTCTGCAGAAGAAAAAGAAACACAACAATCAATCAATCAATCAATATATATTTCAATAGTTGAGATCATGAGTCAATTAAACCTAAACCAACATGGAAAACCTGGAAGCACTGGAGTGCCAACTCGTCCGTGGCAGTGTGCATCTGCGACCCCGTCTAGCGGGAGCTCTTAACCACTAAACCACTGAGTTGGCCGGGATGCAACGGTGTTAATGCCTAACTTCAACTGGCCCATGAAGTTGCGCCACCGTTCACCATTGTCATCAGTGGGTTACTATCTTACAATTGACCCGGTTGAACTCCACTAGTCACTGCTTTTCACTAGAACTTCAGGATATACGTCATGAAGTCAGTCACTAATGAGCATATGTTAATTAGTATCAGAATGGGTTTTTTGGAGATCATAGCAATTTCAACAGTTGAGATTATGAGTCAATTGAAACTAGATCAACATGGAAAACCTGGATGCATTGGACGGCCGTTTCATCCTATTGCGTGACTCCTCCCTGGAGGTGCGCATCCACGACCTCGCGTAGCGGAATTCGTCTAGTTTCAATTAACTCATAATCTCAACTATTGAACTTACTACAATCTCTACAAAACCCCTTCTAATATTAACCACTATATATACATATCAAAAGTAAACTACCTACCTGCAAATATCATAAATGGCCTCGTTGTCAACCATAAATGCACAATCCGAATGTTCTAATGTTGTATGTGTAGTTAATATAGAATTATATGGTTCAACTATAGCTGTAGCAATTTGTGGTGCAGGATAAATAGCAAATTCTAATTTTGATCGTTTACCATATTCAACACTTAAACGTTCCATTAATAATGATGTAAAACCAGAACCAGTACCACCACCAAATGAATGAAATATTAAAAATCCTTGTAGTCCAGTACATTGATCCGCGGATTTACGTACACGTTCTAATACTAAATCAATAATTTCTTTACCAACTGTATAATGACCACGTGCATAATTATTAGCAGCATCTTCTTTACCCGTAATTAATTGTTCTGGATGAAATAATTGTTTATACATGCCACATCTCACTTCATCAACAACATTTGGTTCTAAATCAACAAAAATAGCACGTGGTACATGTTTACCAGAACTCATTTCAGTAAAGAATGTATTAAAAGCACCATCAATTTTATCTTTGGATTGATGATTTGCCATATGACCATCAGGTTGTATACCATGTTCAAGACAATATAATTCCCAACATGCATTACCCATTTGTACACCAGCTTGACCAATATGTAAACTAATACATTCACGCTATACAATAATATAGAAAGATCATTTGTATATTATGATTATTAATTGAAACTTACCATGATTGAATTGTACTATATATGTGAAGTAATTAAAGTATCTTGTGAATTGTCCAGGATAGAATGAGTTGAAGAATGTTAGTCGGCGGCCTATTCTCCACTGAGAGTAACAAGAGTAAGTAAGTAACTGAGATAAGAAGTATATGATGAATATCAGCCAACTAAATGTACATTATAATTTGAGCATATCACTTGACATGTATGATTAATGGGGTTATGTGGTTTGTTTGTTTCTATGATCATAGAGAAGCCTTTTTATATTCTTATTTGACATGAATTGTATTGGTTATCATATGTATCTGACCTAAATACATTTAATGTATATATATATATGTAATCTATCATTATAACTAACATATAAATAGAACAAGTACCTATTGATGTATACAATATTGTAATAGATGTGTTACTATGTATTGCCTGTTCGCCACTGAACTACTTTATCCTTTCTCTCATATACACATACATGCATACATACATCACTTACACACAAGCACTCACACACTCACACATACACACATACACAAAATGCACAAACAACACAAATATAAAGCACACTTAGTTAAGTTGAAACTATTCTCCTGCAACATTATTATTGACTTTTCTGTCAACAAAATACAATCAAATTAAGATATAGACAGGCTCAAAATAACTTGAAATATGTGTTTTCATTAATTTATTACTTTCTTATGGTTAGATAATATTGATGACGATGATGCTGATGATGATGATGATACATATAGTTAGCGATTCCCCCCTATGAGTATGAAGTAACTCCGCCTGGAGCCCCTTCCCCTAAGGCTACTGTCGGTCCAAAGCCTGGATAAAGGAGGAGAGTTGGGCATCGGGTTAGCGACTCCATCCTATAGAAAACTAACTCGCTAAAAATATTCGTGCGAATAGGTGAATTTTTGGAGAGTTGGCACTGGCAGATGAGTGATTGAAAGCGAAAATCATTGGGCTCCAGAATAATGAACCATTGGGTTCTACACATACTAGGGGGTTTTCCCTTTGTGTATATGTAAAGACTTCTAGAATTAAAAGGAAACAGCTCTTTAATTCTTCTTAATTTTGAATGATTCTCCAATTGATGTCAGTTATCATTGAAATGTAACATTAAACAATCTCACTACTAACAACTTTCTAATATCAGTATAGGATTGTGGAGGTTGTTGAGTTTCAATTGAAATCATGAATAAATCAATTTTAGACTATCATTGAAAACCTGAAAGCACTGGACAGCCATCTCGCCTTTGCATGGGACTCCTCAGCAGTGTGCATCCACAAGGCAGTTCACTCAATGACGACAATGGTGGATGGTCACTAAACATCGTAGATTTGTTGAAGTTAGACATTAATACTGTTGGATACCGGAGCTGAAACTTGGAGAACTACAACAACCATCATCAAGAAGATACAAGTATTTATAAATAGTTGTCTACGCAAGATACTCAACATCCATTGACCGGATACCATCAGCAACAGCCAACTGTGGGAGATAACAAATCAGCTTCCAGCTGAAAAAGAAATTAGGAAAAGACGATGGAAATGGATAGTACATACATTACGCAAATCATCAAACTGTATCATGAGGCAATCCTTAACTTAGAATCCTGAAACGAAACGGAAAAGAGGAAGGTCAAAGAACACATTACGTCGAGAAATAGAATCAGATATGAAAAGGATGAACAGGAACTGGAAGGAGCCCAGGACAGGGTTGGATGGAGAATGCTGGTGAGCGGCCTATGCTCCTTGACGAGGAGTAACAGGCGTAAGTAAGTAAGTATGTAACTGTTGGATACCGGTTCAGTGGCATAGATGTTAAGTGTTTGCCTGTGCCTATGTAAAGACCTCCAGAAGTAAGAGGAAACAGCTCTCCAGTTCTTCTTAATTTGGAATGAATCCCCGGTTGACATCAGTTACCTTTGAAATTTATCATTAAAAATCTTACTACTAATAATTTTCTAGTAGTTTAAGATATAACACTAATTTTGTTGAAATGTGAAGTAAATCAAGAGAACATTCAATTAATACCGGAAAAGTCCCCCGTAAGAAGTCTTGATCATTTCAAACAAAATATGGTCGATGTTATTTAGCGTGAACTTGTTAGACATTAATTAGATTCATTAAAATATTTTTGTATATTACTTTAAAATTAAAGATAGTAAGACAACAATCGTTATTGATAACGATTGACTACAACATCGTATTATCAGTTATGTAACTGATGTATATCAACTTAGAGGGTTAGCATTATAGTGAAAACTTAAGTTCCATGATTTTATTCAAATGGTGTAGCCTTTAATTCGTACTGTTGATGAGTATCACATAAAGGCAAAGTAAATATTATTATGTAAAATTACATACTACATTTATGAAATATGAAAAAAATGTATTTAATATGCCATTTACACAATCTCCTCAAGTTGTCCCTTATGAACTGGATTGTTCTCCCATTCCTGTTGCTAGTACGACTACTCTTGTTTTTCTATCTCTTCTCCTTACTTTCTTCTTGTATCAGTAAGAATCCTACTTCCAATATCCGATACGTAATTGTTGGCACGTCAACATGATTATGTTCTAGTCAAACCAGTCATGTGTTCTCAGGGACTCACTTCATAATGTCGAAGAAGGTTCCACGCTGTCAAATGTTTTATCATAATTTAGGAGTCTGATGTATAGTGACGAGTCCCATTCAATTGACTGTACAACAATCATTCGTTGTGTAGCGATTTAGTCAGTACATGACTGATTCTTAAGGAATAAGGTCCATTGATCTCAAAGTTGGGCTTCTGCTTAGTCTTTCATTCGGTTCAACAACGTTTTGTCGAAAACGTTTCCTGATATCGGTAGTAGAATGATTCCTTTGCAGTTCTCCCATTTGCTCAGATATCTTTTCTTTGGTATCTTAATGAGGTATCCTTCTCGCCAGTCCGTTGGCATTTGTTCTTCTTCGCAAATCTTCCTGAATAGAGTGTGAAGCATGTTTGCAGTTAATTCTATGCCTCACTTTAGTGTTTCAGTCGGTATATTGTCAGATCGTGCTGTTTTCCCAATTTTCATTTGTTTGATGTCCATCCTGATTTCTTCTATCGTTGATGGAGTGACATCATTATGAGATAGTGGAGAAGATTTGTAGCTCAGGTGGATGATTTTGGTGGAGTTTTGTTCTCTGAGCTGGATGGTTCGGTCGTGGAGCTTTCATCGTCCTTCTGAACGACATCATTATTAAAGTCAGTGTATACCACTTCAGTGTGCGGTGGGTTCATTGGGGTTGGTCTATCCAACAGTTCCTTAGAGTTTTCTGCTAACCTGTTTCTCTGTTCTTAAGTCTCAGTGATTGTCTCTCCTTCTTTGTACTTGACCGATTTCTCTGTTTTACTATATTTCCCTACCAGTTTCTTCGTTGTGTCATAAGTTTGTCTCATATTTCCTTCTATTACAGCTTTTTTCTGTGTCATGGTGTGATCTCTCCCGTATCTAACCTATGCTGTCCAGCTTGGGTCCAATGAGTTTCGCTGATCCTTTGGACCGATGCATATATTTGCCTGGTCCTACGTTATAGTTGACTGACTGAATGACATATAGATTTCTTATGAGATTCATTTCACATAAGTTAGGATATGTGATGAACACAAATTATCATTTAGTGGTCGTTTTAAAACACTACCAATTCACAGGTTCCTTCTAATATCTAGATTTATATTACTCTCTGGAACTCGAACATCAATCAAACTAAGGGTTGAGAAGATGATCAAAAGATCACTTAAAGTTTCTTTCAGCTACATAAATCAGAGGTTAATTGTATGATTATAAACGACCCATGACTTTGGGGAGCATTCATGGAAAAGGTTCCAAAATTAGTAGTGATTAGACAAGGTAAAATATATATTTCTCTATGTACTTCCATCAAGCGTAACGTATTTTCGTTCTTTACTTCAAGCTACTTATTTTACATTTAAGTAGTGTCAAATACTTGTTCACCAGTAGATTATATCCCATTTATGTGATTCACTTATTTTAATCCATTAAAATCATCTTTTCTAATGAATACAATATTCATTTTGCTTCCTACTAATGAATTATACAGTTCATACGTGGTTAAGTTACTATTGATCTGTTATCTATCTGTAAAGTAAGAACCGGTGAGTTATCAATCTCATATTTTGATTATAGATTTAAGAACTTGGAGAATTTTGTGACCTGTCGATCATGTAATAAAAACAGTAATAAAGTTCATAGATTTACTGTCAGTTATATAGGCGAGTATATTATGACCTGATATCTGACTCTGATGAGATCGTATTATTGATTGTTATTGAAATATGTATATATCGTCTATCCTCGTATAAAATTATCGACTTAATCCGCCTTAGTGTATGACGGAATTAAATAAGCCAAATACGAGAATGGATTTTGAATATGTATATTTCAATGCACTCATTGATTTGAACAGGCAATTAGGTAGAAGAAAGAATAAAGGAAGAGCGATTCACAATTGATTGGTCACTGGGTAATGAGTGATCAATGTTATATATGTCAAGTCATTCTTAGTGCAGATCGAATCCTATCGACCAAGTCTCAATGTGGCCAATAGTCTAGGGGACTCGATATTGTATGCACTATGTTGAAGTAAGATGATGGTTGGAGGCAGTTAACAGGAAACACTGAACGTAGGTTTCGCGCTACTAGGCACTCGTCAGCAAATTGTACCTGTAATATTGAGGGGACTGATGCTCACTGACGGATTCGATCCCGTGTCACCCAGCTTCATGGTTAGAGATGTTACCACATTGCAACTTGGTTGATAGGATTCAATCTACATTAAGAAGCATCTGACATACATGACATTGATCACCCATCACCCAGTGATCAATCGATTGTAAATACATCTCAGTCCTACAGGAGGTCAGTCTTGGTCCTGATAACTCAGTGGTACCGTCTCTGACTGGGGAGCTGGGTGACACTGGATCGAATCCGTCATTGAGCATCAGTTCCCTCAATATTGCGAGTACTCCTTGTTGACCAGTGCCAAATAGCACGGAACTCATGCCCAGGGTTTCCGGTTGACTATCGCCAACTATCATCCTAAGGAAACGAGAAGCAGATTAGAGAAGTGAAGAGAACAGAGGAAATTGAAATGATGCGCAGTGGAGAAAGCTTATGAGCCAACTCATTGTAGTCAAGCGTTAATCGATATTTATAGTCAAACAAAAGTAAGCTATCGACATATGATGAATAGGATAAGAAATGTACACACATATATGCGCTCATATAAAAACATTCAGGGTTGATAAGTGAATAATTAACAAGGTCAAACTATGACTTGAGAAGAATGAATAAACTGGTCTATCAGAAAGTTGAAATAAGCTTTATCGACTTAACATATTGATCGACAATACAGGTAAATAACACAGTGTA